TTCCTTCCGTTATCGTCATCATGACGCCCTTTGCGTGTGTGTGTGTGTGTGTGTGTGTGTGTGTGTGTGTGTGTGTGTGTGTGTGTGTGTGTGTGCGTTTTCTTTTGACATTTTTTTTACATTTAAACGTCAATCACTCTGTGAAATTATGTCAGCTTACACATCTTTTTCTACGTCTACGTTTTAAGGAAAGAGAAATCCGAACAAAAAGCGTTCTTGTTTGATCACTCCGAGGCTTTAACGCCATGTTAGCTGCAATCGCCTTGTTTTTACGTGAATATGGGAAAAGGATGAGTCCAACCACATATTGCTGCCGTTAGCAACTTATTGCGCTCCCTGCTCCCTCTTCAAGTGAATAACTCATCAAATCACATTGATCTGGCTGAAATACACCCAGTTTGGCCTGTTCCCAATACAAGAAAACAAAAACGCTCACTCAGTGTGTGTATGCCTGTGTGTGCGAGCGAGTGAGAGAGGGGTACAGGGAGGTGGTTTGGGGGGTAGGGTGAGGTGGTGTGTGCGTGGGTGAGGAGTTCTGGTGGTGGTGGGGAGGGGGGTGGGGTCTGTAGATGTCTATGGAGCCTGACAAGTGGAAAAGGGCGAAAGCAAAAGCCGGCACATCAAAAAACTTTTCTTTTCACTCCACAAAGTGGACATGGGAGGAAAAAAGGTTTAGCATCCGCACACTGTTGCCACTGAACATTTAGTTGTATTGAGTTGTATGAAAAGTCCAGTCCACATATTTCAGTCCGCATACTGAGGCTGTTTGCCATAAATAAGGTCTAACTTGTTTCTATGCTGCACTTTTCTGCTTTGTAACCTGTGGCTGTTTTTGTCCCGTGGCCCCACACGTGGCCCGCGAGCTTTTTCTTTGTTTATTAGTTCAGGCTTATTCGTGCAGGGTGTTTAGCGTCTACACCAACGCGCTGCTGATACTTCAAAACTGAGCCGAAAATGTGCAGACTCACAAAGTGTGTATGATCCAGAAGAGGTTACGGGAAAGTGCGCAAAAAATGTAAAAACGCACAACAAATGGAAAGGTTCACTATTACGCACAATTCGGTGTTAAAATATTACAGAGACACCAGGACGGGTTTAAATCTTCTGATATTTCAGTTTGAAGTTACAGTGAACTGTAAATGGAGATATTAAAGCAACAAAGATGTTGTTTTAAATATCGAATAAGTTGTATGGTAAAGCTCAAACAGCGTCACCACTGAGGACGCCACAGCACAGTAAAAACCTCTAACGGAATGTTACAAAAACATTTTTCATTAATGGAGTCTGTCAGCTTCAGTCAGCTCCCTCCACGCTTCGTGGCTCTTGATCTCAACTTTGGACAAAAGCTCAAAGAACTGTTTCTTAAATTTCTTTAAAGGTCTAAAACGATTCAGGCAAAACTTGGCATTAATTAAATAAAAAGGAAGAAACGCAAATTATAACTATATCACGTTTTCAATATAATTTCGATCATTTTTTTCTTTCGCTTGTCGAGATTCATTTTACCTGCATTATAAGCAGCCAGCTCGGCCCCTGGCCCAGGACTTTTCCTCTTCCTCGGCCTTCCTTTCTGCACCGTCCCCACGCTGCTGAAGTAGGATAGTCCGAGCGTGTTGGCCGGGCCCAGGCCTTTGTGCGGCACCACGTCCGCGTGGTTAAAATGTGTCTCATATTCTCCCTGGATGAGAGTCTCAAAGTGCAGCCGACAGTACACCAGACTGTCTTTCATGCCAAAGTGGTCCCCGGTGGTGAGCATCTTGCTGCAGGTAGTGCAGGTGAAGCAGTTGAGGTGGTAGACCAGGTCCCGAGCTCGCATCACCATCTCCGAGGCCGAGATTCCCAGGTGGCACCGAGCGCATCTCTGCACCGAAAATCTTCTGCGGACAACACAGAAACCTCATCAGCGGCTGGATGCGAAAGCTGGTGGGCTGTGCTGGTAAACTATGCAGTGGCACGTGTTTTTATGCAAACAGACCAACTTTGACGCACTTAAAGAAGGTGCAAAAAGTTTCCCTGTGGACGAGTGTGCTAAAACCTCGACAGCAGATAAGGGAGTTTGCTAAATGTGTTTAAAAAAATACCTTTTGTATTTAAAATAGAATCAAAATAGGATTCTATTTTTTTTTTAAATTTAATTTTCTTGGGCCCAAAGTATTCCTGAGGCTCTCTTTTATTGCAAGGTGGGGGTAGCGGGGGTGGTGGGGGTCACTCTCCCCTAGAGAGATGCTAACCTTAAAACTAACGCTTTCTTTATCTGATTTTCAGGGGAGGGGTTTAGCACAACTGTCAGCATGAATCACAGCTTTTCTTTGGGTCTTAAATGCTCAAAGAGCTTTGACAGGAAAACTCCGAACATCACATTTTCTAAAGAGTTGCAAACAGCTTGTATTCACTGCAGAAAATCCGCTGCAACGCCAGCATCAGTTCTATTTATGTGAAACGAAAAAAAATAATTATTTCATTGACACATTTTAGAATTACTAATGTTTTTAAATCTACCCCCCTCCCCTGCTCAAACCCGGTGCTGCTTTAGATGAAGATAATACAAATATTCACCAATCACATGACCGGGATTAGAGCCCCTGCGCGCTCTCCTACCTGTAGTAGTCCTCTTTGCAGTAGATGCTGCCGTCTTTGCTGAAGCAGGTGAGCTCGGACTCCAGGTTGAGTTTGCACTCGCAGCACTTGAGGCAGCGCATGTGCCACTGCTTGTCCACGGCCAACAGGTAATATCGGTCCGCGATTTTCCTGCCGCAGCCCGCGCACAGAGCCACGCGCTCGTTGGTCATGCATGGCATGGACTGCAGGTCGAAGCCGTCAGGACAAAAACACACGAACAAAAAACAAAAACAAAGAGAGAGACTCAAAATAAAATCCCGTAAAATCCTTGAAAGCTACAGGACCGCGTCTCTACGATATTCTCCTCGAATATCAGCTCACTGCTGAGGGCCACCACTCCCGTGTGGCAAGAACAATAGTCTAAAGATTAAAATATCTATATCTATCTATATATATACATATAGATATATATATATCTATATAGATATATATAT